GCCCTGATACGTTAAATGGGCTTTGCCGTCGCTGACACTACCAAGAGACCGATGAATTTCAATACATTTGGACACAGCAAAGGGGAAGCTCAAGCTGGCACCTGCGCTGTCACAAACTGGCAACTCTGTCACTCTATTACGCGAGGGGTGTCAGTGTCGCGGCTGACGGACGAACACGTGGTAGTGCGTTCCTATGCGAGGGTGAACAATATTGCACGTGTTTGGTGTTTGATAGACGACAGAATTTCTCTTGCTGCCATTCAAAATAATCCACAAGAATTGGCACTTCTGTTCTATGTACGTATATAGTGAACCTGATCTTTGAAAAGGAGACGTTATATATTACACATTTTTTTATTATGACAATCCACCAGTACTGTGGATAGCAATATCAGAACTTTACGCTTTTGTTTGATATAACGCAATCTTTGGCGTACCACTGGTTAAACTTTCCTCTTCCACTGTCACCCCATGCGACATGTCTGGCTTAATCATCATCTCCAACACTCCCATACTTGAAATGCGTAAAATATAAGCGAATATTCTTTACAATAAAGAATCAATGCATTAGATTGGTTGTGAAACGAATGATGAGCGTAAAGATTATAACATCAGTGATTATTTTGTATATCTGCCTGTGAAGTACCGAGGTCTTCGCAATCTGTGGCCAGACGCGCGCACGAGGCCGAAAGTGACATCACTTTCACTCGCTGTTGCACCACCCTTTCGTTGCCGAACTCAACTACTACTATTATTACTACCACTACTACTCCTACTACTACACTACTAATTATTACTACTACTATAATTATCACTAACGCTACTACTATTGCTGTTACTACTATATTTACTACTACTACCACTACTACTAGTACTACTACGTTCACCACCACGAATACCACCATTACTACTACTGCTACCACCACTACTGCTACTACTACTACTAATATTACATCACCACCGCTGTACTACCACCACCACCACCACTACTAGCACCACCACCACTACTAGCACCACCACCACTACTAGCACCACCACCACTACTAGCACCACCACCACTACTACTACTACTGCTACTACTACTAGAGCTGTTACTGCTATCAACCTCACCGCTGAGAGGGTTCCTTTCAGGACTGGCCGCCGTGGCGCTCGGAGAAAGTGAAATGGAAAGTTGTTTGTGAAAATGGACCTCGGTAGGGGATCCTTAGCCAAGGTCGTCGTTTCATAGGGCCGCACTGTCTGTTAATAAGTGTATCTCAGGAACATTACTGTAAGATACAAGCACTCTCCAACGACAGGTCTGTTTCCTGACTGCAGAGCCATGCAAGCAATCAGTCGAGAATGTTGGGGTATTTACTTACTTTCGAAGGTAACCAGGGAACTCAGGAAAGGATTTCCCCCCTTTTTCGAAATTTACGAGGAATTTCTTTGTGGTTCTATTCTACAAAGATAATAAATAGTGTTTTTCCCTGATCTGTGTAAAACAACTGATATTTGGTAAACACTGACTGCTGCACTAAATTAGAGCAAACTCAGCATATGAAATATTTGCTCAAAACCTCATGACTACTATAATTAATTCTACCAGAGGCTCTGGACTAAGATGTGATGCAGCTCATTCAAGAACATGACTTTGGTAGAGAGGGCATTTAGTATGTGTTACAGAAGATCGTTTTTTTCAATTTTCCCATAAAGCAGCATGACTATTAACCAGTGGGATATTAATCCTACAAATGAACATGTAATTAATAAGACTAGTAATCATTAAAATGGTAATGGGAGGGAAATAAATGGTGAAATAGCAGTTTAGGTTGAACGGAAAAACTCAGACATTATAAATGTTCATCAAATACTATGTATGTATATATGCATGCTTGTACATGTTAGAGGGAGTATGTGTATGTGCGACTATTAAAGTATATATACGTGAATGAATTATTATTGTGTGTTAAGTCAACAAACTATTTATAAGATTTGCTGTACGTTTAGAAATGATTAATTGGCATTCTAAGTGGCAGTCGAGCTGGAAATGTCAACAAGCATCATATTTCATGTTTTGGTTCGCTTGGTAGTAGCGGGTATTGTCGCAGTCAGCGTTCGACCGCCAGGCGGCGCTGGAGGTCTCTGGCGTTGCTTCGTTTTTGTAGGCCTTATCCTTGTCATCAAGGAAATCTTGTTATTGTTATTGCTACCGCCCTCCTCCTCCTCCTCATCATCATCATCACCGTCATCATTGTTGTTGTTTTATATATATAGTTATGAATATTATGATCATTATGAAAATATATAACATTTATGATAAATTATTTACGATTTTAACATGAGTATGTCGTTCCTCTGTACATTTCTCTTCAGTAGCTTGATCCTCAGCAGGCGCACGTGTCTGTGATTATTCAGACTGGAGAAATTTGTAGTTTTTGTCCTCCCTTAGTACCCATGTGTTTTTACCACTTATGATTTCAAGGGTGCGATAAGAACGAGTCAAACGAAAGAAAAATACATATTTTAAAAACTGCAGTTTACTATTCCTCAATTCAGGGGGCTTTAGGTTAATCGTTGCTGGAGGTAAATGCATAACCTTGAAAACAACATTATCGAGTAATCTCATTTTTCTTGCATTGTGTTACAGTGACTTTAATGATAACGGTAAAAAGCATTATCAGTCGCAACTCTCACTGTTGCAAGATAACCAGACAATTGCCTCTCGTATCACATTGCCATTTTGAGATTCTCGGCCTCCGTATCGCAAGGCCGTGGTCCCGCCGTCCTCTGCTTCCAGGCGGGTGGCTCGGATCTACAGATGTAAACAAACCTCCCACGCCGTTCGCCGCTCTCCTTTCACTTTGCGTTCCCGTTTCCTTACTGATGACAATAGATAACTTATACTTGTTGCCTTGTGTTTTACCTAGCAGTTCAGCTAGTTTTTATTCTTATTCTTACCGGTATTAATACAGTGCCAAAGTTATTAAGGGAGAATCGTGGTTAACGTCCAAATTGATAGTCATGTAACTTGGAGCTGTTTCTAGAAGAGACCGTGTCACTGATATTTTCATCTTGTTAAGACAGTAGAAGACATCGAATTAGGAATATGTCGGTAAAAACAAATAACTACCTGACCCAAAATACTCACAGCCTTGGCAAAATGACAGGAGTATATGTCTACTTTCGAATCTGTATATAGAAAGTTCCCTTCACTTCCTCTTTGTGGGGAGGGAGATATGCAAACATCGTATAAAGTCAATAGCGATAACTAACACTACTGCAGCTGTTAGTAGTGCCATGATTGTTTTGCTCTGATACGTTGCAAGGTCTTATATGCAAGAATAGATTAGATATTGACAGAAAACAAGTGAAAGCATCAGAGTACCACTAGAATTCATTCAAGCCTTTTTACGATTTGATTCCAATCGTTTCTGCAAGTGATCTACCGACAAAAAGTTGGTCATATTGTTTATGTTATACGTTTATAACTAGGGAATGCCTTTAAGCACGGTAGTTATTATGCATATCTACCTATCTATCTGTCTGTGAGTGAATTAGTGTGTGTGTGTGTGTGTGTGTGTGTGTGTGTGTGTGTGTGTGTGTGTGTGTGTGTGTGTGTGTGTGTGTGTGTGTGTGTGTGTGTGTGTGTGCGCGCGCACTTTTTCGCAAGCGTTCAGATACGAGCTCTCGGTCATCGCAGGGAGTACTGTAGCGCTGCAAAAACATATCGCAAAACAAGTGCAGGCCAAGCGAGCTGTGGTAGGACGTGAGTCATAATTTATTGTCAAGACTCAATGGTAGGATGTGACGCTCGACGAGCATTGTAATTCATCACTGGTGGTGACGCGTCGGTATGGTGAGCAAGTGCAATGAAGGCGGAGAATCCAAGGTCGACGTAGAGCTTGGTGCGATGGAGCCTAATGCTATTTCGACTCGACTCACAGGTCTAGGGTTGGACTTAAGCACTATAGGCTGTTAAGGTGAGTGAAGGGCGGAGCATTGCTTCTGGTGACTTGCAAGAAGCGTTGTGCAACTGGCCGAAGTTGGTTGCACGGAGTCGTAAAATCATAGATTTCTTTTTCTTTGCTTTTTGCATATCTAGACAAGCTTTTTAAATGTGTATAGAGCTGTTTGGACGATTATATTAACAACTATGAAAAATATGCTGTGTTATAAAGACCAATATGATCGTGGTAATAATAATATTGATAATAGTAATTAAGAGTAAAGATATTTATAATGGCGGTAATGTCAATATGTAATGTTTATCCTTATAACAATAGCAATGACAACCTTAAATATCTTTAACAAGTTGAGTGATCAAGCGTATCGAGAATGTTTATAAACACTATGTGAACATTTGAATTAATGGGAAGGAACTGAGACGCCAAGCCCCGACCAGCTCTCTCTTGCAAGAGGGACTGTTTATGGAGGAATGATTTCAGAACAGGTTTTGGAGGAATGCGCCTCGTCCGGTGAAGTCGCTTGCTTTTTTCCCGCCGACGGAGAGGGAAGAAACTCCTGGGTCTGATTTAGTCATCGAGGCCTATTCATGGCTCCTTATCCGGGCGCCTGTGAAATCAGACCGGTGGAATCGCGCCTGTATTAGGAGGCTGAAACGCCAGTCTGAAATGTTAAAAGGTGTCACGAAGTGTGTCGCAGAATCACAACAGTTTCATTCCAAATATTGTTGCTGGTTTAATCTGCAGCGTCTTTGTCTTGGTATTGCGCAAAAAATCGATTTGCGGTACAAAAAAGAGGCCTATTCCCTTATATTTCAAGTAAGTTCAGATGGCGGTTGTCGTGTTTGTAGAGATTTCATATTGAATGTTCAGTGGGTTTTTGTGTCACGTAGAAAAAAATCTTTGCTTACCAACTTGTTTGCATCAGTCACTAGCTTGGGCAACACGCACGTCCTAAGAAGCCCTTAACCTCAAAAGGCCATCTGCGCATGCTAGTTATTTGGCCATAGTGATGATGATATTAAGAGGGATTCGCTCATGTGAATTTGCGGAAGT